CAATTGTTAACACTATCCATGTGCACAAGTATACCTGGATATGGACAATTGCCCTCCCTGAAATAAATACTAAGTGCATTTCATTTTTTCCAGGTACTTTTTTTCCCCCTTTTTTACAAATAAGACGTTGTCACATCACTTTTCTTAAATTCTTTTATCAACAGACTCTGAACAAGTTAGCAAGTCAAATACTTGGGAAAAGGTTGAATGACCATTAAATTTTAGAAAAATAAATCTATAATTTTTTCTAGTTATCCTTTATTATTTCTTTCCACTGATACATATGAAAGAAATAATGTTTACTCTACAGTTAACTTACGAAATACTGAAAAGTATATGGTAAAGAAAACTGAAAACCTTTGCCCATTTTGTGACTGGGTTATTATTTGCCTTTCTGCTGTTGTCAAAGTTTTATATATCTTTTGGTTATTAGGTTCTTGTCTACATACAGTTTCTGAAGATAATTCTCCCAGTCAGTAACTTGTCTTTTCACTTTTTTGGTAAAGTCTTTTGATGAACAAACATTTTTAATTTTTATGAGGTCCCATTTATTTATTTTGTGCTTTGGTTATTGTATTAGTTAATCCATTGTTAAAAGCTAGGCCTGACAGCATCGCCCTGCTTTTTCTTCTAAGAATTTTATGGTTTTAGTTTGCACATTTCGGTCCTTAATCCATTTTGAATTTGTTTTTGTGTATGGTGTAAGGTATGAATCCTGTTTTCATTTTTCTGCATGTGGAAATCCAATTTTCCCAGTACCATTTATTGAAGAGACTCTTCTTTCCCCATCGAATGGACTTAGCACCCTTGTCAAAAATCAGTTGACCACAGATGTGTGCATTTATTTCTGGACTCTCAATTCTATTCCATTCATCAGTGTGTCTATTGTTATACTAGTACCAGGCTGTTTAGATTATTATGTCTGTATAGCATGTTTTAAAATCAGGAAGTGTGAGTCCTCCTACTTTGTTCTGCTCTTTCAACATTGCTTTAGCTATTTCAGGCCTCTTGCCTTTTTATATATAGTTGAGGACTGGTTTTTCTATCTCTGTAAAGAAGGCTGTTGGAATTTTGATCAGAATTGTGTTGAATCTCTAGATCGCTTTGGGTGGTACTGGCATCTTAAGTCTTCCAATTCATGAACATGGAACATCTTCCCATTTATTTAAGTCTTCTTTAATCTCTTTCAGCAGTGTTCTATAGTTTTCATTGGATAAGTCCTTCATGTCCCTGGTTAGATTTATTCCTAGGTATTTTATTCTCTTAGATGCTATTATAAATGGAATCGTTTCCCCAATTTCCCTTTCAGATTTCTCACTGCTGGTGTATAGAAACCCATCTGATTTTTGTTTGTTGACCTTGTACCCTGCAACTTTGCTAAATTCCTCTATTAGCTCTAGAAGTTTTCTTG